TATCCTACTCCATCAGGAGTTTCATTTTGTGTTTTTGAAAATGAATTTGAGTAGTGCTAATGCAATAGTTTCTCCAAAGTTCAGAATTCAGAAGTAAGTCCTGCTGGTGAAATAGCTTCCTTATGGAAAAGATAGTCCCCATTCTACCATTTAAATGACTAATGGAGATATTATCTTTAGTTAAAATACCAAAATATTTTTCCTGGGTATCTATGTATATTGGCTATTAGAAGTTTTACTAGTTAGTTGTACAAGTACCTGGCTCAAGCTGCAACTAAGTAAGATGCCTGAAGAAAACACTGATGAGTCACTCTTACTAAGGCTACTTTTATAAGTAAAGTTTTATAGTTTAACTTGATTTTGAAGTATTTTCTTTTAATTATTCCTCCCTCTACAGTGTTACAAACGACTGTTAGGTATATAAATTAACAGTATGAGTAAGCTGTACGAATTCAAGAAAGACTATTTCTACTGCTCTAGTACAGTTTACAACTGCTGCCATAAACAATAATAGATACAGGCCAGTGTGAACTGGAATAACTCAACCAATAGCAGGTATGACTGGAAGTTTCACACTTGGAGATCTTGTGAGGAATTACGAAGGTTAGTGGATAATATGATTGTACTGTATGGAACTAGTGAAAGTCTTCTAAATGGGGAATGCCAGTAAAAAGAACAACCCAAAATGAAATAAACAGCTATCTTGTAGCTTCCTGAGCAGAACTTTGAGAGAAAAATTAAATAGTTCAAGCTCTAGAGGCCCACAGAATTACAACCACTGCCTTACCCAGATGGTGTCTGTCTTATTATCTAGATTTCAATAAAAACTAGAAAGACTGAAAAGTTTAACCTGCCTAATTCACACTGGTTGGGAGGGTAAAGATAAGGTTTGTGTACCAACCAGGTTTGGTACCTTAGCATAAACAATACCATCAGTGTTGAGAGCGCTTCAGTAACTGCACTTGAGCCCCATGTCGTCAGCTGGCAAAACAAAACCTAATAGCTTTTAGCAAAGATATCGTAGCTAACAGCAGGCTCACAACTGGCCATCTCAAGCGCTTTGGTGCATCCCACCAAGCGATCGGATTCACCGAGATGTGGATAGAAATTATCCTACTTCCAGAGTTTAGGAAGTGAACTGGTTTCAGTACATTGCAGTGCCATGGTCACAACTTTGTAGGCTAATGTTTGCACAAAGTCTTTAGCTAGTCCTTATTCTTAGTATTTTTATTTCAGTGTTGAATTATTTGGGGAGATCCCTCAGACTCTCTTCTTCTAACTCCTCCCACCGGAGAGGATACAAATGTATAGCTGGCCTTAATATTTCAGAGTCCAGGCATTTGTTTTTGAAGCTGCAGATATGCCATTTCAGAACCCCAACTGATAATGAGGTCAGTGTGACACACCCCCCAGCCTCGTATTGATGTGATACTATGTTATGTATGTGAATTTGCAGGAACCATGTTCAGGTGTCCTTTTTACTGTCTCATTATACAGCAATTAACAGGCCTGGTCCTGAAAAGAACCTCATTTCCTTTCCCCTCTTCCCCCTTTTTTAGGCATTGCCAGTACATGATAGAGGAACTAAAGAGAGAACACTGTGTTCCAGGTAATATAGACAGAAACCCAGACCTTAACCTGTCTGCCTCACATCATTTTCAATAGGGAGAGTCTTGACTCAGGAATTGTAGGCTGTGTGTAGAATTACGGTAGAGAAGAATTTGCTAAGGAAGGTCTATGTAAATGCAATAGAGATCTTAGAAATGAAGCATCTCCCACATTGTAGAGTTAAGTAGACTGTTCTTCAGCTGTACTACTAAGCTTAAAGCGACAGCCTAGACTTCTTTTTGAACTACCATTATTATTTTATTCCAAAAAAAAAAAAAAAAAGAGTGACAGCTGCAAGAAACCAAGTTGTTCATGCTTAATGAACACACTTCACTCTGCAGGTAGCTGACCTGCACTAGGGATTTTTAACTATTTCCATTTCCCATTGGGAGAGTAAATTCACAGAAGAGCAGGAAGTGAGTTATACAAGTCTTTGGAAGGTAGCATCAAGAACAAAACTATATTCTGTAAACTTTCTTTATACTTGCGTAGCCATTTTACAGTTCTACTTGCAACGCAGTGAATTCAAAGTCTGCATAAGATACTTTCAAGCAGTGAACAGTAATTCACAATAACAGCTATGTGTTTCTTTAAAAATCTCCTGATTTTTAGAACAACTCAGCTGCTACCTTTTCAGAACAAAACTCTGGCTTAAAAGAAAAACAAAAACTTCTGTACATAAAGCATTCACCTAAGATACTTTTGTAGTTAAAAAAAAATGTTACTTTTTATTTATAAATATGTACATACTTTTTGATAGATTTTCTAGATTTCTACAGAATTCAAGCAGTAAATTTGCTCCTGCTGCGTCATGTTGTCACTGTCTTACACAGAGAAGTATGGGGGAGGGAGGAAGCAGTTTAGAGCTGTTAAACCACTTTAACCCACCTCCTTGGAGACCCTCATACAGCTTGGACTCACTGAAGCTGTACACTCCTTTAAAAGATGAGAAACTCTCCCCCCCGCCACCCCACGCACATTATTCTTCATGTTCCTCTTTCTGAAAAGGTCTCAACTTTGCTAGTAGTGACACCCTGGGGCAAAGCGTTTGCAGCTCCAGCACTCTCATATAAGCCAGGCTCAGAGCAGCTCACATGGATCAATGTCCTCTGCAGTGCAGAATGAAGATTATAATATATTATATATATTGATTATATTATCCAAATATAATTCTTTGGGACTTCTTTTATTTTAACTGCAAGCTGTTAGTGTTCTGGATTTAAGATGCTCAAGGGGAAAAATTCTCTACCTATATTTTAACTTATGATTAGCCTGAAGAAAGAGACCAAAACTCCCAAGATTAAAAAAGCAAATACATCTCTGCTTTGATGAGCTACACATATCAAAAGTCCTTCACTTTTGGAAGGCAGCAGCCCAGTGCAACAGAACAATCTCGGCAAAAAGCACAAGGTGATGGTTATGTCAGCCAACACATGAGGAGGGCTCTGGCTACATTGCAGTACTTAAAAAGAGCCCCAGGCCACTCTGACTCAGATACCTTTGACAGTTTTCCCCTCAGAATTTCAAAATTTATGATGCAATGCAAATGTTATTCTTCATCTTAAGATGGGATATTTGGTGTTATCATGTTATCATTGCCTCTACTCAGAGAAGAGTTTTCCTGGATCGAGACCCTGCTATGCCAGAATTTCCATGAGATGTTAGAACGTGTTGTTTTTCCAAGCTGTAACAGAGACTTTTGGTCAGATCTGCTATATCTGTAGTTATAAACAGGCAGGCTTAGGAAAGGCTACCTGAATAATAGAAACATCCTGCTTTTTTTCCCCTTTAAAAGTCTGTTCTCAGCTTTAAAAAAAAAAAAACCCAAAACACTTGCAGTTGTTTAATTCGGTGCTATGATCTCTCAGAGCCAAACCATCAAACTCATTAGCATTGCTGTACTGAGCGAGGGGGAGGGAGAAGAGCCTTATTCTACCCAATTTTTGATTGCTCCTTCAGTTGATCTTCCACATAGCATTCCTCTCTCCCCCATATAACACTAGACAACAGAGACGCCTTTGTTTCTGAGGCTTGTATGCAGTATTTCCTTGCCACCTTTTCTTTCTCTGCTCTTTCAATCATGCCATTTCATGTGATGGCTTGGAGCCTCTAGCAGTCCCACAGGCAACACCCAGGACACTGCCTGTGGTTGCACGTGACAGTGGCACACAGCATTAGTAGAGAAACACCTTTCGCACTGCTAGGAGTGAAATACTTCTCCTCCTGAGAGCAAAGCCCCTTCACTTCACTCACTGACCCAGAGAAAGAGGCCTCATACTGAAGTTACACAGCAGGGAACAAGTAACACTTTGACAACGCAGCACAAGAAGCGAGCAGCCCCTGCATGCTGCAACGCTCCCATCTTGTACTAGCCACCATCTTGTACTAGCCAGCGCCACCATCTTGTACTAAAAACAACCATGGGCAGTTAAGCAAAATAAGGTCTAATCTGCTTAGAGCTACGTGGAAGAAAGCAACCCAGTGTCAATGCTGTGTGAAACCTTGGTAATTTTGTATCAGGGATATCTATCTGATCAGCTCAAGCTGAACAAGCCAGATGTTCTCAGCCTCTGCATGGAAATCCATACAACCTACCAAAATTATACGTCATGTATAATGACCCTGGCAAACTACCGCATCTCATTTCTTGTATGCTTTTCTTCTTTTGCTTTGAAACAGAAGTTACTCTTCTATTTAGGCCTGTTACACTCCTGTATTTATACAGCAAAATTAATACATGTTCAAGGAACGGGTTTTGCCTGATTTAATTCATAGAAATCCAAGATCCAATAGAGAAAGTATCACATCATAGGTAACCCCTTGAAGAAAAATATATTGCATAGGAGCAGATATTCAAGAAGCTTGTGCTGTTGGGTATAGTCATACTCAAAAATGTTTATCTTGCACAAATTTTCCTCCTGCCTCACAAGAGGTATCATACCTGATAGTTCTGTACTGACAAGGCTAACTGCAATCGTGGAAACAGAGATGGAAGTTCACTCAGGAACCAAGTTAGGAGCAAGACCTTGCCCCACATCTTTGTAGTCTTCTCAATTTTCTCAGTTCTTTTTTGAATATACAGAAAAACAAATAGAATAGATGTTTCTGAGAAGCCAAGTCACCTGGACATACCCTCCTTTTCTATTGTAAATAAGCCCTGTGAAAATATGGTCATCTGTAGTACCCTCATCGTATTCCCAGCATTAGCAACCACACACTCAAGCACGTTTTATATCTTCAATCGGTTTGCATGCATGGCTTGAGAAGGTCCTATCCTGCCAACTAAGAAAAAAACTGTATATGCTATAGTTTATTTTCTTTTCACAAAGGGATTAACCTCAGCCTAAGGCACACTTATGAATTTTATGACTTGGAAAATATTTCTTTCATAGACACCAGGATCTTACCTGCTCTACTGCCCAGCCAAATAGGACTTCTCCCATCCCAGGCCCTTCAGAGAGGCAGCACACAGCATTCCAGGAGCCAAGAGACGTCAAGCATCACCAAGCTACACGAGGTGAGTCCAAGACACCAAAATCTTACCAAAAACAGCCCCCAGACCTTCCTGGGCAGACTAGCCCATTTGGTAGAGACTGCTAGTCATTTCCTGGCTCCCTGTAAGCACCTGCCTCCCCCTCTGCAAAGAGATCACTGCAGCTGTTGGACAAAGGCTCCTCTCGAGGGGATATTGCTCACACCTGTGCCTATTCCTGCCTGATGCTGGGCCTGACACATCTCCTGTGCCCTCTCTCTGGCTTTTGTCTATGGCTCAGGGCCCCGTGCTTGAACCATACCAATTCCCAGATGTGGGACAGAGGATGGGCTGTTTGCCTGGGGCTTAGGAAAGCACCACCTGAACGGACAGTTATGCATGCTATGTGATGTAATGTCCTTCCAGCCTGAAGCTCTAAGGGCATGAGTCGTTGTGGATTAAACTCAGAAACTGCACAGAGTTAGATTCATGAAATGCAGAACCCACTTAAAATGATAACAGTGCTGAATTGCTCTTATCTTCCTAGACATGGCCTCTGTTACACAGTAGACAAATTGTTCCCAAGTAAACTGTATTCCCAAAACAAGCCATGACCTTATATATCTTATAGACAGCTACCCCAAAATGTGCATCAGCCCACATGTGTTCAGTTTATCTTAAATAGATAAAGCCATGTCTGAGGAAAAACTCTAGTGAAAAAGCAAAAGAGGTGAACACCAAAGTCTTTGTTAATTGTATTTAGCTGTCTGTCTAATGAATACTTGAGAAAAAGAATGTAAATGCCTTCAGCAGTTTCAGTGCTACCATTTGGGTGTAAATATCAACATTTTATATCTCCAGACTTGGGACTGACCATACTTAAGATTCCTGGTATTTTTAGTAAAAATCAAAAAGAAAAAATACTGATTAAAAAAAACTCTTTACGTGTGACCTTCAAAGTTCTTTTGACGGTAAGCTAGTAATAAATTCTTTATATTTATTACACACTCCACAATCAGTATTTTCTATTGCTGTTTTCTCTATTATAACTTCATCTACTACCATTTTAATAGTTAGGTGTAAAAGATATAGGAAGACACGTGGCTCAGTTTTAACAGATAAAGTTCAATTTCTATATCATTGGACACTGCAGTTTTAGCCTAATGATGTTCATAATTCATGAATTTTTTTTTGCATGGAAATGCAGTGTTTCTATTAATGGTGAATCATATCAGCTTCCCTAAAATTCTTAACAGCCAACACCATGCAGTGCAATTTCATTCTTTTCAGAGGCACAAAATAGTTTCATCCAGATCAGAGATAGCCTCAGTGCAATTTTCTCTGTGATCTGTTCCTTGGCTTGGTGGAAGTGCAGGTGGTGCTAGGTGTCAGCATCTGAAGCACATAGTTGCAGCCTATCAGAAGAATTACAGTAAGTACAGTCACAGAAAGGATTCAAGCAATGAACTGCAAGTACAAGTCGAGCAATTGTAATTGCACTGGCAATAACGGGATGTGAACTGAAGCTAGTACAGCTCAGAAGTAGACAAAAAATCCTCATTCATAGATAGTCCAGAGTAGCCCAGAAATCAGGATAAATTTGTTGAGCAGAGCAGTAGAGCTTAGCCCAGGCTGAACATGCAGATCATCAAAATCCTTCAAACACCAGAGCCTGAGGCTATGCTTATAATTTATAGCAGAAAAGAAAGCTAAAGAGAGGATAGATAAGTACGTAGTAAAGCACCGTGCTCCAGCAGAGTCTGTCTGGCTTCACCTATTTTCCCCAGATAAGTATTGTAGGCAGGGCAACCTACTCTTTCACTGTGCAAGATGTCATAAATACTCCTTTTAAGCTTTCACTGGAGAGTGTGTGACAGAGCAGCAGCAAGGGATTTGCCCTTTGACAAGCCCTTAGGCCTTTGAAAGGCTGGAAGGTGACAGAGCAGGCTCAGTTAAAGACCTTTGCATGGATTTTTTTTCACATAGGATTTTGTGGGCACGTCACACTCTGGGAGCTAAGCCAGAGGGAACAGAAGGCACCAAACTGCTCTGAAAAGTGACTTATTGTCCAACTGATGAAGAACATTTATTCAAGATTTTCACATTAAACAACATGGCAAAGCCTCAAGAAATTCCTCAGCCAAGCCCAGCATCACTGTGAAATCTTTGTTTGCTCACATGGACTTACTGACAACTTTGTTGAAACACTTAGCTTTGAGGAAATTGCTGTGCACGAGGGACAAAAACGGAGCAGACTGTGAGGCCGGGCTGTGCTCCTCGACAAGCAGGCATGAAAATGCCAGACAGCCCAGCGCAACTGCTGCTCCCCTCCACTGTGACTAGGCTCCTGGGCAGGGTCAGCTGCAGTGTTGCACGCCTCACATTTGCTGTGGGCCAGTAAGCGCTCTTCTTGCTGGGCTGGCAATGAACAGAGCGCTGCTGGGCCCGCTGACTGGTGAGGAGCCGACTAGCCACAGCATGCTAAAGGACAAGCACAGTGCAATTGCTGTTGCCCTCCTATCACCTTTCTTGGTCAGCGGCAGCCAGCGTCCCAGCAGGTGCATTATGCCGTTGTGAATGACCAGAGAGATTGTCTGGATGCATAGACTCCAAAGGGAAGGGGTCATGGAGCAGTCTGTGCATCCGCTGTGTTCCTTCAGGGAAAAAAAAAGCCTGGGAAGCAAGGATGCAGCCTTCGGTGGGACGATGGAATGACCGAATCTAACTCTGCTCCACTAGCCTGCTTGGGAGCTTTAATGTGAAGTCATTGCAAGCCAGGGCAGCTTGACAGAGGAAACTAGAGAGAACACCTCATTTCTGCTTGGGTTGCAAAGGGTAACTCTCCACAACCGTAGCCTTGCCAAAGATACTGGCAGAGTGCACAAAAGCTGTGCCCCATTGTTTACCACAGGCACTTAACACAAGGAAGATTTGCATGCCTCATCTCCTTTCCTACCTCAAATACAGGTATAATCCAGCCTGGGTCACAGGTAGCTGTGGCTAGTGGAGCCATGGAAATGGTTCTGTCTTAAGCTCAAGATAATCCTGTACCACCCACATCCTGATCTTTTCTCCCCAGTTATAATTCTTCATAACATTATCATTATACCTAACTTGGAAAGCCCTCTTCATTATGCTACATTCTCTCCTTTGCTCTTCCTGTAATAATATTAAAAATAATAGGCAGGACTTACCTGTCTCTGTATCAATGCCTTCTTCCTGCTGCTCGTCTTCCAGGCTGCTCCTTGGGTTTATTCCTGAATCAGTCATTGGGAAGTCCACCAAGGACCCTCAGTGGTCCATGCGCGCCGATCATGGGCTTCCGCCGCTACTTTGCTCTCCTTTATCTAACGTTCACACTCTCCACGTTCAGAAATGTGTTGTGGGGATGGGACTCTGTAGAGGTGGAGAACGGTGCGGTTTCTGCAGGGATATGTGGCAGCCCAAACATTTACATTTTGGGTCCTGCCTCTGTCATTGATTAGTCATGTCATTGATTAGTCATTAGACACCAGTCACCTTTCAGATTTGTGTCAAGGTTAATGTCTCTGTAGCATGGGACAGTAAAGCTTTTACCTTCCTTTAGATAGTGTTTTGATTTAATTACAAAATATGAGGAGCAAACTGAACCATGAAATGCTCTTGCCATTTAGAGCTGGGGGAGGCTATGCGGTGGTTTAGTGTGGGTGCCTGGCTGCTGTGTTGTATTGTAGGCAGAGGCACGTCTGAACCGTTTGTTCAGTGGGAGAGGCCAAAGGGGAGCTCCCAACGGCACAAGGGCAGCAAGCCTGGCTGGGCAGCACCTGCCTGGCAGGCCAGCAGGTCTCCCTGAGGTGCAAGGGAAAAACTATGCAAGGGGCACCATGAAGGCATGGAAGGATAACTGGATCTTATAAAGTGACTGGGTAAAAGTGATGTTTAAGAAATGAGGGCCACATGATTGTTCATCAAGAAAAGGCTCACGAAGAAATGTTACAGAGAACATAGTGCAATTATGAGCGCTGTTAAGGTGCTGGCTAGCCTCTCCAGTTGGTGTTTCTATGTTATTACATGAGATGCAAAGGAATTGTAATTTCAAAAGCGTGTGACGAAACATACCTTTAAGCACAGATTGAACTGCACTCATATTGTACAGATGCACATGTGCACATATGTACATACAAAGAATAAAAATATAATGCTTCTTTGTGGTACACAGAAGTAGGAGCTTGCTAGAGATTTCCTGGGAAGTGAAGGACAGAGTAGCCGTACTGTACTCTCACAGCCAGAGAACTGCTTCTTTTTTTCAGTAGCTGCAGTTAATGGCAAGGTAGAGAACTAATAGATTAATAAAACACAGAGATATATTTTATTTTGAACCAAAAGTTAAAATTTTATTTGGAATATCAATATACCAAAAAAAATAAAAATAAAAACTTCCTTTTATGTAGTGAAATAGCCATTTGAAAATGGTAAAATAAAGATATTTCTCATACTATTCTCTTCAAGTTATTGTACATGTATTTAAGTTTTTTTGTTTGTTTTTTTAGATTTTTTTTTTCTGAATAGAAATCTATCTTGAGCTTTATGGCTCCAAAAAGCCTAAAGGATGTAGTGGCTCTTTTGAGAAAGCAGATAAGTCAATCAGAGCTGTGTTTTTTCAGCAGACAGGCCTGTTTGAAGCTGTCCAGGAGTAGACAGAAGTGAGACTTCTCAGGAAGGCCATTATTTCAGGGGAATATTGTTTTATATCCATTGGGAAAGGCATTGTAACCCCACTTCCTCTATGGGGAGAAATGCAGCGTTTTATTGAGCATTACGATGCGCTGGGGAGGCCCTGGTTCTCCTGAGCTGTAGAATTCTTGCGCAGATCTGATCACATTTGTGTTTGGGCAGTTGGTTTAATTTAAGAAATCAAATCCTACCCTGTGGTGTTTGCTGTACTAGAAAAAAAGTCTGTAACAAGGTACTGATCCTGCCTTTGCCTCTCTAAGCAAAAGGTTTCTAAGCTGCACCGACTGCAGTGGGGCATTTATGATTGCAGGATCAGGGACTTGTCCTCTAGTTCGATTTTAAGAAAATAAGCAGAATGAAAAATGTATTGAAATAAAACAGTAGAAACACTCTGACAATTCTAAGTCATAATTTTTCCCCTTTGGAGTGTTCATTGACGCCAGGCAGCAAAATATGACTTAAGGACTCATGTCAGGGCCTGAGTGTTACCCTGAGTGATTCTTCTCTGCCATTGACGAAACACAATGGGATTTAGGTCTTGCATCACCTGCTGGAGCTGAGCTGCAATGGCTGAGCCAAAGTGCCCTGAAGTCAGCAGGCATCTCACCAACAATCTCACTTTGAGTAGGCGTTCGACCAAGTCCTGAACTTATGTAGTATGGGCTGCAGCTTGCTTAAATTTCTTACTCTATCACAGCCATTTTTATTACTCTAACATAAAGTATATCTATACTAATAATTTGTGTATAAACATATCATGCTTCTATTATTGGTTCTGAAGTAGAGGAGAGAATGCAAATACTGTCCTTGACTATTGTCTTGCGTTAACATGTTTGTAACTGGCACCTGCTTACAAAGACTTCTGTTTCACAGTCACAATAATTGGTGTCTAAGGCTCTTTGTTACTTAAAAAAAATCCTGAATAACAATCTCTGAGGTATCATTGGTCTCAGCTAAAACATTCTCCTGAGCTTTTGCTTTTAGGAGAGAAAGACGATATACACTCAGGTCTTGAAATTCACAAGCTGTTGAACCATGAATCTTCCTCTGAACAAAGCCCTGGCTGCCGGACCCATGCTGTCACTTAGGGGGCAGTTGCAGAATCAACTTCTTGCAGAATGCCACAGGAGGGACCCTTTCACTCAACTGTTATTCCACCAGCCACCACGTACTGAGCAGCTGGTAATATACAACCTACCTTACCGCTTTGCCTTTCCTCTTCTTGCAACGGAAAATAGATGTGATAATTTAGTAGAACTAGTATCTGAGCTCTTGGCCTGAAAATACTCTCTCCCAGGATAAGGAATAGATCACCATTTTTCTCTCTCCTCTATCCTGCATTCAATACATTATTCCTACTACTGAGTTTGGTTTCTTTGAGTGATTCCATTTACATGTTTAGGTCGTTATCTTATAAGTAAATAGTTTTATTAGTTTACTGTGAGATTCTGGTGAGAGATCTCTTTCGGAACCAGTCACTCTTATGTGTTAGCAGTGAGCCCAGACAGAAATCGTTTGTGACTGTTATGCAAAAGGTTTGTAAGCATGAGGGTTTTTGTTGGTGATTTTTTTTTTTTTTCTCACCACAGGCACAATTTAAAGAGGCTTCAGAATTACCCAAGTTTTTGATGTTTCATTAACTAGCTAGAAATATTTGCTTTAAAATGACACTATATAGAAGTATTGTTCGGGAAGAACCAAATTCTGCTCTTAGCTGCCTAAGTGCAAATCCATACCAACCTTACTGTTTTCATTTCAGTACATTGGACTAATGCCTCAAAACAGACTTCAGCCCTGGCAGACTGACCGTATCCTCAGTGTAACTTTCCTGACTTTAATAATGAGTCCCCTAATGGTGTTCTGAGTGTTTTTAGTTGTTGTCAAAGGTCCCATAGTATTTGGTACTTTAAGTAAAGTTTGAGTTCCCAAAGATGTGTGTGAATGCAACAGAATTACAGCTTTATTTAAAATAATTAGGAAAAAAAGGTTGTGGTAGTGGATAGAAATAAATTGTGAACCTTAGGCTCAAACTAGGGGAAGTAAATAGGCCCCAATTAGCTGTGTTTCAAGCTTCTTACTCATAGGTTAGAGCAGCTGGAGTATTACGGAGTTGTCATTACATTAGGATAGACTGGCTCAGTGTTTAAATATACATGAGAGTGGCAAATATAATGTCTAAATATTGTGCGTGCATTTTTTTTTAGGGGGGGGAAAAAAAGAACCAGCGTATGTTAGTTTTGGTCTTATCCTCAATAGCTTTAATGTCAATTACCACATTTGAATCCAGTGGAAAACCTCAGAGGTAAAGCCCCATGGTATAGCAGGACAGGACCTGTGTAAACGCGCCTATGACATGCCATCTCATGAAGTCAGTGGCAATGTGCCAGCCGATTTCCAGTGTGACAGTAAATGTACCCTAATTTACCACTATCACTTATGTGTCTGATCTTGCTGCCGCTTCCTGACATGAATACTTGACTGAAGATGGGTCCTTTTGACCACCGGGGTACACCTGTACTGCATTTTGAGGAAGTCACTCTGGCTGTTTTTGGCACTGGAGCCACTTCCTAGGCAGTAAAGAAGGGGCCTGGAGATGCATCCTCTGAGGCACCCAGCACACCCCAGCCACTTCCGCTGTGCAGTGCGGGATATCCGCGCTGGTGGTGCACACACCACCGGCACGGCCCCGGCTTGCAGAGGAGATGGGCACATCAGGGAGCGCGCCGTGGTCACAGTGGCTGACAAGGCGCCTCCTGAAAACAGTACAGATTACCCTCGAGGGCTTTAGAAGAATGAGCAGGTGAAATTCTTGCTCCACTGAAGTCAGTGTCAGCATTGCCAGCATTTCCGCCCAGCATGCACAATTTTTTTTCTCTTGTGCAATTACGAAAAGTAGTGAATGAAGCATGGTGGGTATTTGCACACTAGTTAGCAGCCCACCCTATTTTCTGCCTATGTCAAACTGAGGCTGCATGTCTTTATCTAAATTTGGTTTGCTTCTTATTTGTATTATACATATGCTGTTAATTTGCAGATTAACAGCATATGTAAAGTACAGTTCCTTCCCCTCTATTCAGATAGAAGGAGATGGGACACACTGGCTCTAGTCAAACCACAGTAAGTCCTCCACTGACTTCGCAGGGTCCAAGATTTCGGCTCCAGCTTCAGCTCCACACGTGGATCTCTTTCAGCCTCTTTTGGCTTTTTTCAGAGATCTAAGACACACAGGACTGAGAGTCTAAATGGCACGATGGTGGGCTTCTACCAACGCTGCTGTTGTAATTGTACTTGACTCTAATTTTGCCTTTTCCGTTCTTCATTAGTCTGCTTCTTAACCAGGGCAGGCAAAATTAAGAAGGAGGAAAAAGGCTTATTGAGCATTATAATTATCTACTACCAAGCTGTATAACAAAATGATTTACACATTTAATTGGTTTTGTCTAATATTTCCATGTATACAGTAGTCTTATTAATGAATATCATATCTTCATTACTGAATATCACATTTTGCTATTTGTTGTGTACCATAAAATAACATCAGCACATCAATAACTTAAATAACACAAATGTAAACGTATTTTCTGCTTGTTATAATTACGATTTTAGCCTACAAAGGCTTTTGGATTTGTTGTAAGACCATTCACATAATATGGAATGTAACTTTATTTGTTTTTCTTTTGTGTATAATGAGACACCGAAAGCCCTTGTCATCTCTTAACAGGATACTAAAGCAGTTCTGTTTCATGAATGACAGCACAATTAAAGCTAAAAATCATAATTAAAAAAACCCTTTGTACTGTACAATCTCATATTAAAGCAAGATAGATAATGACAATCTTTTGCATTAGCCAGGAAATGTGATTCTCTGCCACTGGGCTTTTTTTTCTTGTTGACAATTCACATAACATGTATATGGGTGTAGTTATAGATGTATATATTCTATGCAGAACAGCAGGCCCTATTTTGTTGATCTAGTTCTTCTATTTGTTTAGTTAAACTATCTTACTGATACAATTTAGAATACTACATTAACACATTTAACATCAAGTTTACATACTTGCGTCTTTGAAATACTAGGAACTTTTACACATTTTATTTGGCTTTGTAAGGACTGGAATATTACAGCTAATGCAGTCTACTTGTCTTTGAAAGAATATGGCTGTTATCAACTAACTCTCTAAGGTTCAGAGTGAAATACATTTCTCCTTATATCTGTAGCTGACTTGAGAGAAGAGAGTATCTTCTTAAGTGGTCAGTGTGATGTTACAGTACAGATTCTGCAGAGAAATAGGTATTTAATGAGGGATAAGTCTCTCTGGACATTAGAGTTAAGCTGTTGCAGCAAAATTACTCCATTTAGACTAATTTTCTATACAAATCTCAAGAAAAACCTATTCCAAGTATGTTTTGTAGTAGTATCTCCACATGACCAGAGGAGGGCACTTTAAACATCTTTGCACTGCCGGGAGGCAAATGCAGAAGCACAGTGTTACCCAATGTCGCACAGTCCTGCCACGCGTTCCTACCGATGCTGATATTCCTTTGTCCTGAAGTTCACAAAAATATAAAATATATATTGTACCACAGGGCTCTGTTCTGAAAACAGTAGACAGATATATCACTCTCTTCTCTCTAACTAGGTTTTCTTCTGATTTCCCCCATTTACTTCAGTGTCACTGCAGGTTAATTTGAGATTAACGGATAATTTTTAAAAATCATGTTAGGGGAGTTTTCTCCTTCTCCTTCCTGAACATTCCTCTGCTATTAGCCCCTGGTAATTTAACAAACATTGATTGATTTAGCCCTCTATGACTTATCCTGCTGCAGAAATTCCTTGCCTTTAACAGAAAAATGCACTTGGAAAAATGCACTTGCTGAGATATGTATTGCAACAGTGCATCTTTTCACATTAAACTCTTGTAAAAGTACTGCTCCTTTCTGCCGTCTGAAAGAGGTGATTCTGCATTCCACACCTGCCCGCTTGGCAGAGTGCATAGTGGAGAAATCAATCGGCTCGCGTGTCTGTTCATGACCACAATGGAGTTCAACCACTTTCCACACAGACATTCAAGACATTCTTTCTGTTGTCATTTTGGCTAAGGGTATCAACCCTTTCTGGAAAAGAATTTTAATTTTGCAATCCTACTGTTATCATAGATAGAATTTTTTTGTCACCTCTCTGCTTTGTTTTGTTCAAGTTTAATGCTGAGAAATTATTAGAAAGGATATAGAAATTATTATTATTTTTCTTAAATAAAAGTCTCTCTTCCATCCTGGGGAAACACAATGCTTATTTAATATACTTTTCTTCCACAACGTTCTCGCTCTTCTCTTTTTCTTTTTTCTGTTTCTTTTTTCTGTTTCTTTTTCTTCTTTTTCTTTTTTTCTTTCTTTTTCTTTTTCTTTTTCTTCTTTTTCTTTTCTCTTTGCTTTCCTTTCTTTTCCTTTCTGGAGCAGACAGGTACAAGAAGGAAGATGTCTTTCATCAGCAGTCCTTTGAGATAGAGTGGATTCAGTGAGTCCTCACCATGATAGGATCATAAACTTACTGGGTTAAACCAAGCTAACTTTCCCTAAGCTGCCAAGTTTTAGCTGCACCATACATATATGTGTTTCCTTGTGCCATTTTCTTTTCTTATAATTTTGTTTTTCTTGATGACCCTGAGCTATGGCTTCTGTCTCGTTTCTACCACTAGTCAGCCTTCCTTGTTTTTCTGGTTTTGCCGATATAGGCCTCAAAGAAAAAATGGCAGAAGAGCACAAAGTAGCTGAGGTACATGAGAGAGGACCAGATGATGTTCTGAACATGGGAATGGCACTGGCCCTGCTGCATCCAGGAGAAGACCAGGTAATTAACTACACAACCGATCAACATCTGAGTGATCTGTGATAAGGTGATGAACATGGCAAACTTGCGTGAGACTCTGAAGCCAGCAGCCCTCAAGGCATAGTAAGAGTACATTACGGCATGTACTCCATAGTTCATGGTCATAAACCAGCCACCACCAGCCACCATGTCCTTGTAAGAATACCAAGAATAAAGCAACACAGTAATGTGATGGTACCAGTGCAAGAAGATGAGCTTCTGTTTCCTAAGAATAATGAATATTGTATCTCCTGTAACAAAAAAAGGGAGGGGAGGAAATCAGAAACATATTGAGCAATTCCATAATTACTGAATTCTGCAATGCTGTCTTTCTTTGGCTGTCATTGGAGTATTCACTATTTTGGAGCATGAAAAACAACCTCAGCTCTTGAACTCAGCACCTGTCTGATATGAAATCCAACTTGGCCCTTAATCTCTGTATAATCTCTGGAAAACCAAGTATCCACATTTTTCTGTGTGGATAACTCCTGTATGAAAACTCCATGGGTTTAATTGGTAGCCCTTAAATGTAAACATAATCTGTGAAAACCTGCGGGGAGGTAGGGGGAGGTATGTGTATTATCCTTGACTGTGAGATTGTCCATTATACATGTATTGAAATACAATTCAATAGAGAGCAGAAAAACTAAAGAGTAAGCAGCACAGTGTCCCTTAAGTTATGATGTCTAGATTTAAGGCAGAATTTCCAAAAAGGAATAGCTAAAGGTAGCAACTAATACTCTCATTAGAACTACACATAAAAATGACTTCACTTCTGGAAAACAGGAAGTTTTCTTTTAGGGTTTATGAAAGTTACAGATCCTTAATAACTTTTAGGTAGATTCCTAAAGTAAAATGTTGGGCCCCTAGGTTAAAAATTCAGCCAAAAAAAATGTACAAATCCATACCAGTGGAGAAATGCAACCTAACAAATGAATCAAAAAGCTTTCCTTTACGGCTATCTGTGGGAAAGTGTATCATTTTGTGGTTGCAACGAGAAAGTCAAGAACCAATGAGCAATGTGATATAACTCTTGGCTGAGCTTACTTCAAATGATGAGTCATTATGGATGTTACCTTTTACTTGGGTGTCTACCTTGAGCATTTTTATTTCTTCTGCTGTTGAACAGAAGAGCCTGTACATGCTACATGTGTAGACATTTGTAAGACTTTCGTTAATGCTTGCTGACTCATACTGGAATGAACAAGAGCTGGTGAGAGAGCGAACAAATTCGTCCGGCAGGTTCATATCAAATGCATACCTGCTAATTCAAAATAACAGAGCCGTTTGAGTTACTCTGCAAAAAGCTTTTGCATATGCAACCAATATTACTGAAAAGTTTGCAATTGCCAGCAACAAATGTTTTGGAAACAAATTTGGCTTATGTTGAAATGGTACATATCCTTTTCTACAAATTCATATTACTATAGTAGAAAAGTAGAAAATTTTGTTCCTCTTTCCTGACTTTTTCTTCCTTTTGCTTCTCATGATTGCATGGAACATCTCAATTAGATATAACATGTATGTAGGTATGCATCTTATTTTCTGTTGTTACCAACCCCAAGATTTGGATCTGGGGCCTTATTTCTATGTATATGTTCCCCTGAAAATCCAAATCATGAACATTAACGATGGGGGGGAACTAAAACTGCTTTATATGCACTAGGTCTGCAATAAGCCATAATGCTTCTGTTTACTTCATTAGCCACAAGATGTTGACTCACCTTTTCATAAATAGTCATATAATCAATTTATTGTTGACCTGTAGTTCTAGCTGATGTTTTCTAGTTTTAACAAAACTAAATTTCAGTGGTTTTGCAGTAATTTAAGCAGCAGGAAACCAAAGGATTCTGACACAGCAAGATGACTGGTGTTTCTTTCCAGTTTTTATGTTGATGAATTGCTATCCTGTAATTTGCTGAATCAAATTCTCTGCAGAAAGAAAAGCCTTATTTTTGCTGCATACCTGCACATGGTGAATTCTGCAGGGCTTTATGGTTTGAGCAAGGGCATCCTCAGAAATGAAAGCTGGAGGACTGCTCAAACACTGCCTCCTTCTTCCCATTAAAACAATCCTTTCTTACACTAACAAGCCATGCGATCACACCACATGCAGATTGGGCATTAAGTTGGCTTTGGCAAGTATATCATAAGTATCCTTATGAAAAAACTGCTGGAGAGACAGGAGCTTACAAAAATCTATATCATACTGGAATCAAGATAACAAAAACTAGGGATATTACAGGAAATTGTTTTTTATTTGGAGGAAGCAGAGAGCCACAGCTTTCAATGTTTAGGGAAGAAACACAGTACTGTTCATAATTGTAGGGCTACACACATGTTTAAGGACACATACATCAGAACTGAGGCAGAATCTGATTTCAAGCTTCTTGCTGACACAGCTGCTCTATCCTGCCCTTCACTTTTGTATCTAGTCCATCACAGGATGAGTGACTGCAGATAACACTACTCATATTGGTCTGTAATCACTGACAGCTTCAGAAGTGCTCAGACAGGCCTAGATAATGCCAAAGGGGATGCCAACATTTCCTGTGTTGTGGGATCAGGACTTCTCACAGAATTTTTATGGCAAGCGAAAGGGATGTAATATTCTCTCCATGTTCGTATCATGACCATTAAGTCTGCTGGTCCCTTAGGCCTGAATCTGGGACGTACAGAG